CGGCGGCGCTCTTGCGATGCTTTAAGGTAGCGCTACGAAGTGTAACACTTCGGGGAATGACTCACTTTACTGGCGTAATAAATCCGTGGAGCAGAGGACAGTAAGTGAGGTGGCGACCCTCCAGCGTCTCAAAGCGAGACCTGCAATGGTCAGTTCGAACCCATTGACTTACTAAACACAAGTGCTCCAGGGACCCGGGATTCCCGAGCAATGTGGTGTTCAGTCACTACCTTCATGAAAGTGAAAGGACGCAGCTTAGCGAGTGTAAACAGTCGCATTACCACGATTTCCAGGTCTGGCGACCAGTGTCGGGCCAGCCCTGCTTCGACACAACCCCACAGACACCGTCCCGTGGAGAGTGAAAGGGTAATTGAATCGGAAACTCACAAGTCCCAGAAGAATCAAAGACACAAATCAGAAACAAATTCAGAATTTTATTCAGATTGTACACAAAGCAGAAACGATCGCAACTGGTGATCATCTGCGCTGAAGCTGATGGTTGTCCCAGAGTGCCGAACAGGCGATAATGACAATGCTGAATGCCAATTGCCGTTGTGATGAAGGGGCCCTTTCTCCTGATGACCACTGCTAGGCCACTTGATGGAGAAAGTGAAGCCCCAGCTTGCAAGATGTGCCAGCGAATAGGTGTTGAGAATCGGTATGAAGGGCACCCTAGAGACTCCAACACAAACATTCCACTTGTTGAGCCACCAACGAAAGACTGAATGTAGTTGTGCGGGAAGACGAATCAACTCCCTGGGGTTGTCGTCCCCGATGTGTGGGCACAGAACCATCTGAAGAGGGGCAAGCTGCAGCTGGCCCCTGTCAGTCAGCACTTGTGCCGACGCCAACCACCCTAGTAACTTCTGCCACTGGCGAAAAGGTGTGGGTTGGACCAACACTAGTGGTGCGTTGTACTGAATCTTGTCCCACCTCTCCTAGGGCACAAACATCATGACCTGGCGTGTTGAATATTGTCCCAATAAGAAGAAACAGCGGGTCGGTGTTACCCCTGATTGCTCGAATTTGGCAGCCATCCTAATTGCGTGAGCAACTTGATGATGAACTGTCTGTGGAAAGGAAGGACGACTGGATCCTGCTGGGCTTGAACACAGTCGTCGATATTGTTGTCAATTGTCACGCTTCGACAATGCAGGTAGCTGGTTAACAGAATGGCTATCTGAGTAAAACCCACGGGGCTGCATATGCCTATACAGCAGGATCCTCCATTGGTATCAAGGACGCCCCATAAAAGTAAATCGAAGATACTTCCAATAGTCTGGATGTATCGGATGTGAAGGTAGGCGTCTCACAGGTCGAGGGACTGACTGACTGACTGAGTTTAGTTTTACACGCCTTTAGCAATAATCCAGCAAAATCACGGAGGGGCACCAGAAATGGGCTGAACACATTGTGCCCATGTGGGGATCGAACCGGGGGTCTTGGGCGTGACGAGTCAGCGCTTTAACCACTAGGCTACCCCACCGGCCATCGCAGGTCGAGGGAAATGAGAGAGGTCTAACCACTCTTGCCTCTGACAAAAGATATCTCCTGATGTAAGAACGTTCAATAAGTCGAACAACTACGTCAGTTCTGGCGGAGTGCTCAATGTAGTATGTTAGGCGCATGGAGATTGTCAGTCAATCTACAGGAACGTTCACATTATAAACAAATTGTAGAAATTAAGTAGGATCGGTGACCTCCAGGAACGTTTCTTTTGGGCGAACAAATAATTGTGCGCCAGGTGGAGTGATATAGGTAGTAGATCGGCTGCCTGGTGACAATCCTTGCATAATGCAGTGACCTCTGAACTCGGTGCTTGACTAGGCAAACCGTTCACGGGTGTTTCTGTCCGTCACCCTCAATAAGCAGTCTCTCTCGACTGGCTGTCAAAATCCCGACACAGTCACTCTTATCGGGAATGGCAGCGTTCGTTGTTACTTGCATTTATAGGCTGGACTTGGTATCCGATTCGTGGGACCAAAGAGAATTCTGCAAAGGGCACTTCATAGTCACTCTAATCATCAAAATTCCGGTAAAACAAACAGTAGTCCACCATTTGCAAACGTTACACACGAGTGACAAAAATCACGGACAACCTGGTCTTTGGTTAACCGGGCGAGTCGCAACCCATAAATTCGGGCTGAGCTATGCTGGCTATTTGACAAAACAGTGCGGTACCATGCGCCAGAACTTCATCCATTTGTGATCTGTCCAGAAACTTGCTTAACATGTAAAACAAAGGGCTGAAGATGACGAGCCGTCTGCAACAATTGCACCAAGGGATACACAAACGCTTGCTACGAAAGGTAGTCTGTAGTAACAAGACTCATCGGGCCGTCGTAGAGTATTCCTGGCTCGCAAGCGATATCTAGTTATGCCATATCGGTGGTTGCAGAACTGATATCTACACGAAGGGTAGAATCGTTGAACCGAATCATTCATCAAAGTGAAGATCGGATGGTAGATTAAATCTGGAATGAGATGAGCTCGGTCCACGGAGGACTCTTGAGAACTGGGATCGCCAGGCCGTCAAGTGCCGAGCGTGATATCTCTAGATGACTGCGCTACACATGTAAATAAAATCGGCATGGTGAAGCACATGGCTACTACCTCTGTACATTGATCTTGAACAGCCAGGTGAACTGGTTCGACGATAGGAGCTTTCGACCTGGTGAAACGATCTGAGCCGGCTGGTAAATCAGTTCAGGGTGGTGGTGAGCGGAAAGTTGGCGTTGATCTGAATCAGTCCGATGTGATCTGAATCGTGACTGATCTGGATCGATTCGGTAATCGAACCCGGTTAAATGATCTCAGCTGATGGAGAGATCTAGAGCGCTCAGATGAACCAGTGAGGCGAGGTGAAATGTTCCGGCCGAGGTGAATCGTTTCGTTGCTGTGAATTGAATCGATGATGTGAACTGTTTTCGCGATAAAGAAACAGTCTTAATATTATGGCAAACTGAGTCAATGTCGTATTCACATACGCGTGGCGTGAAAAACGGTTCGATCTGGTGAATCCATTAGGTGTATGGCGAACCCGATTGATTGTGGCGGAATCGGTTCGGTCTGGTGAATCCATTTGGTATGGCCAGAACCGATTCGGCGTGGTGAACCCGGTTTGGCAATTTGATGGTACGGTCTGGTGAAACCATTCGGTATGGCGAGCCCGATTGGGTGTGGTGAATCCATTCGGTATGGCTGAACCGATTGGGTGTGGTGAATCCGCCGGTATGGCGAACCGATTGGGTTATGGTGAATCCATTCGGTATGGCTAAACCGCAATTAGGTCTGGTGAATCCATTCGGGTATATGGCGATTTGTGAAGTAGATCCGGATGTGTGAGTCAACTGGCAACACAGAAGCGTTTTGATGGCGGAACCAGAAGACATCTAATGATAAGCCCATAAAATTATCACCGTTCGACATGCATTAGAAACTGCGGATCTAGACGAGCAGTTAATACCGGTCGTTAAAAACGAGGGGTTTGTCGGGTGATCAACTGTTGAAGTGTAGCGAGCTCTGTCTGCCAGCCATCGGGGAGCAAGTATGTCTACATGCTCTAAAAGCGTCCTTAATAAGGGAGCACATTCCGACAACGTTTGCTCCAGGAACATGACGATTGGGGATCCGAGAAGTAAATATTGTTACAGTGTCGCGCAAAATTACGCTACTGAGTCTGGACTGACAAGGCGGGATATCCTGATTCACCTAAAGTGAATGAGACCGACTTCGAGAATCACTCTGGCGAAAACACACCTTACGGCTAGGTGAACCGGATCGAAATGGCCAACCACCTCGACCAGAAGCGAGACTGAGCGACTCTGAGGAATCAAAACGCTGATGGTGTGTCGAACTGAAACCTATGTTGAGGTGAACTGAGTCGGGAATGTGAACCCGTTCGTCCTGGTGAACCCCTTCGAGTACGTGAATCAGTTCGGTCAGGTGAACCCATTTGATTACGTGAATCAGTTCGGTCAGGTGAACCCATTCGAAGATGTACTGGTGAGCCGCCTCGGGCGTGTGAGCCGGCTTCGGCGATGTGAGTCGATTCGGCAGGGTGAGCGGTTCGGTAAGGTGAGCCGGTTACGGCTATGTGAGTCGGCTTCGGCTGTGTGAGCCGGTTCGGCAGGCTCGGCGGGGTGAGCCGGCTCGGGAAAGTGAACGAGACCTAGAACGACTCTTGCCAGCCGTGGAAGAACGCATTCGAACCTTCGCACCAGATGGTGATTCAACTCGTGTGGGTGAATTGTTCCGGTTAGATGAAACCGTGGAATTAGGAGAGCGAATTACGATCATACCAGCGCCGATCCCGCTTTGGCGATGAATGCTTAGAAGTTCTCGAGAGTCTGTGATACGTTCGAAGAAACAGACCTACGGGAGATAATGTAGATCGCAGGTCTGGCGTAGAAGAAATATCGGTCATTACCACCCTGGTGCGCTCCTGAGAACGTAAACTGGGTGAGGGAACCTCCTAAAAGCCGTCTCCACGTTCTCAGATAAATAGGAATCTGACGGTTACGTCCATAAAATCTTCGTCCAGAAGCGAGGCGGCCGATTGAGAGCGGTGAGCAGTGAGGGTGGGGTGATCTAAGCATTGTTTCTTAGCGGGAGATGGACCAGACCCGCCAGAAATAGTCCTAGCCCTATCTGCCAAACGTCTGGCACAAGCACGTTTGTAAGATTTAAGCGCCTCATTAGACAGACCTGAAAATTTAACAATGGAATATATAGGCATGGAATACTAGTCATCATCATCAGGGTATAAAATCTCCATTCTGGTACCATAAATACCCTGACCTTATCCTCCATTTGAAGAAACAATAACATAGTCACAGTCCACTTTTACACAGCATAGCTTCACGTGCAATATATGCTTAAAGGGCTAATGATTACCCAATCAATGGATTAGTGAGAAGTTGATTTTCTTTCTCATCTCCCAGAGAAGTACACACTATCAACGTCTCTACACTTGCACAGAGCTTATTTGACTGGATTCCTATTTTTGCATCATGCTAAAGGATTCTGTTCAAGCGGTGGTTGCAAAAAGGGTAAAGAGTATTTTTCAAAGTAAACTTTGTTGAAATGCACAGGATAACCTGGGATGGGTTTAATGTTTCACACTGAAACTATGAGTGGACACAAACAACAGTCTTTAGTTTCTAACCACGATGCTATGCCTCTTCCCTATGATGTCAACATCAATGTGTGGTGGTGATGATGAGTACTTTCAGTATGTTTAATCAGATGCACGATGAATTATCCAAACGTTGACTGCACAAGTCCACCCACACCAGTGATGCTACAGATTGTAGGTTAAGTACAAAACAGATGATAAATCACCTTCATTGATCATCACTCCTCATCTCGCTGACAGGAGGGGCTGACATGTCACAATGCTCGTTATCGTTGTGGATTAATCTACTTCACATTACATGTGGAACAGAATTCCGGTCTCCGTGTCAGGGAACCAACATTTCACATGTGAACATTCATTGAAAATGACACATTCTTTGTTAAAACAGTAAAAGGTTGCACACATAATGCATTAATGGCGATCATCCGAAGTAAGCCAGAACTTGCCTTTAACCAACTGATAAACTGAAATACCTTAACAAAAAACAGGCTATACTTGTAAGTGAATACATGGTCACATCAAGTGTAGGCTCAACTCGATTCAGATGATTACACAAGAGACCTGTTAAAAAGGATAACACAGACCCAATTTTAAGCAGACTCAAATGTCATCACAGCCTGAGCCCATTCCACAAAGCAATCTTAGACTATTATATGGACACACTGGTAGTACTAAAATGACTTTGAGTAACAGCAATATGTCTATCCAACAGTACAGCCCTAGAATACATTGTTCAAAATTATGGAGTTCTTCGTGACCTTGAAGTCTGCTGCTGAAGCTGGTGAGTGTATGACACATTATTTAGCACTGATAATAACGTGTACAGATAAGTAATATAATGATGGGACCTGGCAAAAGAAATGTATGTCAAGGTGGCACCTTTTGCAAAAAACATTTGAGGGCTGTATGAGCACTTAGGGTTCAGTGGCCGGAGGTCAGATGCCAAGGGTCAGATTATGTGGAGTTTGGAAGGACGGCTCATGCAGCTTGCAAATCCTGGCAAACCTCATGAATACATACAATGGTTAATGGTAATCTCACCATCAATAAGTCATTATTACACTTGCATCAACGACAGCCTTGTGAATAGACATCACTAGCATTATGTTGCCATCATCTCAATAGTATGTAACACTTCACAGTATAAACACAAGCCACGAATCCATATTTAAACTTATTCAGGAAACCTTTTTTTTTCTGGCACAATTAAAACATGTAAATAACTTACAATGTGAAAATGATGTCCAAATGTACTGTTTGCATGAGAAAAAGCTGCCTCAAAATAAAACCATGAAGCAGGTTGTAATGCTACTTCACTTTAACCAAGAATGTGAACTTATCAACGTGACTTTTTTAAAAATGGATTAACTGACAGATTTAGCTCAGGTCAGGGCAGCTCAAAGTCACATTGAGAAGTTGGCACTAAACTTATTTTGGTCCTAAAAGATAACTGGATAGGTAATATTCACAAGACTGTTAGCACAGATAAAACAAGTTTTCTCAAGTTCTGTACAAGTAAACACACAGGATCTCCCAACTCAAGGCATGCCAAAGAACTTGAGGGATCTGTCCATGCTGCAGGACGCCATGAACGTTGCATTGTCCCCAAATCTGATGCCGGTCGCTGCCGCTGTGTGGTCATTGAACACAGCCAGTTCACTCCACTGCTTGCACAGGTACGCTCTGGAACAAACAAACAAGAATTGCTACTGGCTACCTATTCTGCTCCAAAAATAGATTGAGTGAGAGAGGTTTTACGCTGCTTTTAGCAATATTCTAGCAATATCACGGCCAGGGACATCAGAAATGGGCTTCATCCAAAACTAGAGACAAGCCTTGGGTACAAGAGATTAAATCTAATCCCCACAGGCAGACAAACCTACAGCAGTAAGGATTAAATCTGCCCAGGAGGCCCAAAGGGAGATAAGCCAAGAATCCAACGAGAAGATAGGCCCAGGGTACTGATGATTAAATCTGCTTGGGATCCCCACACAATCACAAGTCAATGTAACCTCCTCAGTGTGGGAATCCCCATCAGCTGTCATGACAACAGATACATAACTGTACTTCTAGAGCTTTGATCATCCCTGGCACATGATGAAGCTAAACAAGCTCCTCTTTGACTTGGTACTACCGCCCATCAATACCCCAACCTACCTGACATCTGATCCGGCCACAGCTAGGTAGGTACCGCTCTGGTCAAACGTCAGACTCTTCACCTGCAGAAGGACAAGAGAGATGCAGTCACAAGGCCTCTATATACACCAAACCATGAAGACAGTTCTGTATTGTATGACATGTCATTGTACATCAAAGGTAATCCGACATTACCACATACCATGATATACACCACTGAATAAACTCTACTTCTTTATTACATGAAATATATCCAGCTACTTTTATCATGTGTGTAAGTTCAATTTACTGACTTAAGGGTTTGGGAGATCATCTAACATGTCTACCATCTTCTATATATACCATGTTTGCCATGTTTTATATCTACCAAGTTCTATATCTACCACCTCTATATCTACCACCTTATATATCTACCATGTTCTATATCTACCACCTTATATATCTACCATGTTCTATATCTACCAAGTTCTATATCTACCACCTTATATATCTACCATGTTCTATATCTACCACCTTATATATCTACCATGTTCTATATCTACCACCTTTTCTATATCTACCATGTTCTATATCTACCATATCTACTGTCTATATCTACCACCTTCTATATCTACCATGTTCTATATCTACTGTTCTATATCTACCACCTTATATATCTACCATGTTCTATATCTACCACGTCTATCATCTTTTCTAAGATGCTTCGGTGAAAGATCAAAGGTGCCGACAGTACTTTATCAGACAATAATGTGCAATTTTTGCATTATGTCACAATGTAATGCCATTCTAGTCTGCCCCTAGTAATCGAACAATTTGCATTATGCGACAATGTAAGCGACGTCACGAGGCATGTCAGTTGCCATCGCCTCGTACAGCCTCCTACAGTAAACTACCATGTCTACCTAACCATATAACACAATCTGACACTGCATCTCTCACTCACCTCATAACTATCATCAAGCTGGATTGTCTTGAAGTTCTTCAGTTTCCTCAAATCCCAGAGTTTGACGACAGAGTCTTCAGCCGAGGTGGCCAGATAGTAACCTTGGGAACAGGAAGTGAGTAAACACTAGAACAAATTCCACTGTCCAACTTTCGGTCGTCACAATCAGTTAATAGTATGGTAAGCTATATCAGTCAGCATGCAAGACCAAACACACAAGATTTGAACTTCGAGCAACAACAGGACTCAAATGAGAGCACGATCCCATCAGTCTCTTGGACGACATATTACCAGGCTTCAGTGTTATATTTTGAGCACTGACTGACTGACTTTGGTTTTAAGCCGCTTTTAGCAATATTCCAGCAACATCACGGCGGGGGACACCAGAAATGGGCTTCACACATTGGACCCATGTGGGGATTCGAACCCGGGTCTTCAGCGTGACAAGCCAACGCTTTAACCACTAGGCTACCCCACTGCCCCTTTTGAGCACTGAAACTGGGTCTCCAGCATCAAGTGTGACACTGAATCAACTGGGCCACCGAGCAATTATCATTAAATAAGTTTAAAAGAACAAAAGTTGCCATGGTTACAAAATTCCAAGCACAAATGTATGTGTTGCAATACATTTTTTGCCAAAACTGGACAAGACAGAAATCAACTTATGTTTCACGGACAGCAGAGAGAATGAGATTTTGGTACAGTTGTAGACATCTTTAATGTCATACAATTTACGCCACAATGAGTGGTGTGACGTCATAATTGTGCTATGTAGGAGAACATCTTGAAAGGCTTGCTTAATTTTCATGAAGTAGAAATGTAACATTTAATTTAATTTATTGTTGTTAAAACTACAGAAAACTTATCACACCACTGAAAACAGTATGTTTATCTCTCAGTCAGGTTAACTGCTGACATGTAAGACATGTCAGCAGTTATCCACATTCCTGTGAACATCTTCTGTATTTGTACCACTGAATACAATGCAGTACACAACACCTCCTGCCTTCTGTCAAGTTGAATATTACAACTGAAATATTTCGGTTTACCGTTTTCAGAGAATGCGATGCTGGTGATAGGTCCTTGGTGTCCGGGGAAGTTGGCCACGTTGGTTCTCTCCTTCAGATCCCAAATCTTGATGACAGAGTCCTCAGTGCCAGTGCCGAAGATGAGACCGTCAGGATGGAACTGGGCACAGGTCAGCGCTGGCGCTGCCAACACACAATACAGAACTCATGTCTGGGAGGGAAGGAGGGATAGAGACACAATAAGTACATGGTTCTATAAATTCCAGGGACACCACGAATTTGATTGAAATACAACAATTACCAGGGTGCTATTAGGCAGAGCTCCAGATAAGATTTAGCTCATGTGGGTACTGTACCCACTGTATTTTGTTGGAGTGGGTATTATGAATGTTGAGTGGGTATTTCATTTTTGTTACCCACTGCTTTCAAATATGTACGTATTTCAGTCATTTTACTCACCTAAGTATTATGTCATTGAGTAAGTTTACTAAGCAGGTATGTCCTGCCTTATGTCATACTTAATCAAAACCAACTTAAATATAATGGAAATGATTTCATAAAAAAATCACTCATCCTATACTGACAGTACAACACTAGTCTTATACTAACAGTACAACTTGATAGCAATCGATGTCTTTTTCATTACGCAAGCGATTTTTATCAATATATTCCGTACGCATTTGTTTTAAACTTTTTGCGTATCGAACAATTTAAATGCGTAATTGGTATGCAACAATTATTTTTCAATGCATAATTGGAAATTTTCTATGCGTATTTTACCCGGATACGCAGCTTATCTGGGCCTCTGCATTAGGGCACACAGACCTCAGAAGCTGTAGACCCTGACAGAGCCTTTGAAACCTTTCATGAAATCTACCAGACAACTTTTGTCCTTTACCGTAGACACTACCACGATGAGTTACTGTATATTCAGTTCTAATTTGCTTTTGCTAGGCATTGTCTTATATGCAGGGATTAAGATTACCGTGTATTTGTCTCGTATACAGAGCTGGAAATAGCAATCAGCTGTGCACACGTTCCCCCGCGACCTACCGGTGATTTAGTTGGTCTGAGTTGGTCGCGATTGGGACCCCAACAGAAGTAAGGGAGATGTTTATTCAACGGACTGTTCTTTTAGTAAGCTAAGCCCAGATTACAAAGCATTGTTCTCATAGCAAGTTGATTTTTGGGACTGTTATTTTAGTCCATAGTCAGCCCAGATTACAAAGCATTGTTCTCATAGCAAGTTGATTTTTGGGACTGTTATGTCAGTCCATAGTCCGTCATGGAGAGAGTCCAGATTATAAGCAAGCTTTAATGATAAAATTAAGAAAAAAAATTGCCGGGACTCAGAGAGTAGTCCGGATTATGGAGAAAACCGGATTACACAGAGTCTGGATTTGACAGATTCCACTGTATATGGTAAAGTGAGAACTGACCAGATCCTGATGATGTGTCACAGACTTTGGTGAGAACACGGCCAGTGCGGATGTCGGAGAAAGCCCAGTGCTGGAACACAATAACAATTCAATTACATTTACTTAGTTTCATCTGACAGTTTCAGAGAAACAACTTCTGTCAGAAGAATAGCAAATAGGAATTACTAAACTGAATCAGCGTACCATGTCCTGTGAGCAGCTGAGCAGGAAGTCTCCCGTAGCGTGTAGACTGATGCCGGTGACGGGGGAGTCGTGGGCACGGATGATCTGGGCACACTGAGCGGTGGTGATGCCCCAAACTCGGATTGTACAGTCGGGGGATGCCGAGAACACAAGCTCCTGGAAAACATGGTAAACATGGATGATACAACTTGATCACATTATTATACTGACGTTCTCCCTACAACTGATCATCTCATTTACTGGAGAGTGACACATTATTTCAAAGCAAGGATTGATGTAAAACTTCAATGTAACTGGAGTTAATATGAGTATAACTTAATTATATAAACTTCGACATGATGTGATTGTGATACAATCAGGCTAAATTAGCTCCATTATCCAATTTATCACACAGATCACAGTTGAAGGAGGAACAATAGAAATGAGTGAGTTTGAGTTCTCAACTATCCAACAATTTTAATGTGGGGCATGTGAATTTAAGTTTAAATCAAAACAAAATTTAATCATAGAAATGGAGCTGAGGGACTATAAATAATTGACTCTGTTCCTGGATTTGAACCTATGACGAGCTGGTCACAACAACTAAGGGAAGCAACTCTGAAAGACACTGATGATACTGCTCAGGACTAGGGAGGATTGAGATGTTGATTTACCTCTTCTGGGTGGTAGATGACGCTGGTGACCTTCTTGGTGTGACCCTTGAGGATGGCCATGACCTGCTCCGTGTCCTTGTTGAACACTACAGCGTTCTTGTCATTGCCCCCTGGAACACATGGCATCTACATAACAAGGGGTGTCGCAACATGTCGACTTCAGCATGCTCAGATACCGGTAGCTATTGTGATACTTATTGTGTCATGGCTAACAACCAGTTCGTGTTGAGTGAGTGTTGAGCCGCACTCAGCAATATTCCAGCTACATGGCGGTGGTCTGTAAATAATCGAGTCTTGACCAGACAATCCAGTGATCAAAAGCATGAGCATTGATCTATGCAACTGGGATACGATGATATGTGTCAACCAAGCCAGAGAGCCTGAACTCCGATCTCGTATAGTCGCCTTTTACGACAAGCATGGGTTACTGAAGATCAATTCTGACCCAGATCTTCACGGAGTCGAATGTTGGTTTGTTCTAATCGTGCTAAGATATCATGCAACCAGATATATAACGGTTTCAAGACAGACAACACGTAATGTTATCCCCAGTAGTTACCAGGCCAAACCATTTAAAACTTTTATCTTTTGAAAATTGACACATTAATCAACCTGAATTGATCCATGGAAATGCATATGTGGTATTGTCATAACAGGTGTAAATTTGTACTACTTCAATACACAGGTTAATCTCTATTGAAACTATATGAGTTGCTTCTACTTCAAGGTAAGAACTAGTTTAGAATTCCTCAGCAACAGTAGAGCAAGACGGTCATCTGGAACATTTAGTGCTAGGATACACGACATACCCTGAAAACTACAGTACCTTTATAACATTAGGTAAAGGAAAGCGTGTTCAATTTAAACAAGTGTTTGCCACTAACATGGCAATATACCCTGTCACAAATAAGGTCAAGGTCACCCTGAAATGACTGGCATCTGCGTAATCACCCAATGTAGGCTGTAGACATAATTGAAGACATTGGGTGCAATGTTTTATGAGATATCGTGTTTACATAAGTTTGAAGAGTGGTCAAAGAGTCATGGTGACCTTGAAGATAAGGTCAAGGTCACCCAAAATCGACTGGTATCTGCGTAATCCCCCAATGTAGACTGTCACCAAATTTGAAGACATTGGGTACAGTGCATGAGAGATGAAGTGCATGAGATATCGCGTTAACAAGAATTAGGTCGTACAGACAGACACTGCTGAATGCATAGTGCGCCGTTCCGGAGGGGACAAAAAGAGCAGAGATTCATTCCCTTAAAGTATTTTGCAGACTTACTAGTGCAAAGAGTTTATGGATAGAAACTGGTTACTAATTCAGATGCTTACTACAGATACAATGAAACACCTGTATGTCTTACCTGTAACGATCCTGGAAGTGTCCCGGAGACACAGGTCCATGGAGAGGATACCAGGAACGCTGGCACTGTGAAGACCCTGCAGTGTCAGAGACAGTGTTGTAGAGCAACAATCAATCAAGTAAATACAACAGTCTGAAGGCATTTCTAACACACTGAATCAATCTTCCTGAAGTCACTTTATTCTTTGGTACAGTTATAAGAACAGGAAAGATCTGAAATCCTTATACTTACACTACACTATACAAAACAAGTTGAGGGCCATGATTCTTTCATAGCACTGTAGTCATGTCATTCCAGTATTATAAGCACTTAGCAAATCTTCCCCAAAGTACATACTGCGCATCTAAAAGCTGAAAAGAACCAAATGTTATCAACACAAGTGCAGACTATTTTGATTTGATAACAAATCTCCTTACAGTGTGTGAAGCGAGCTGTCTGTATTGACGGATGTCTTCTGTGGTGGCCAAACCCTCAGGAACTGTCTTGCCTCTCTGTAAACGAAACACAATAAAGTTCAATAATGGACTGGCTGAGTTTGGTTTTACGCCCGCTTTTAGCAATATTCCAGCAACATCACGGCGGGGGATACCAGAAATGGGCTTCACACATTGTACCCATGTGGGGATTCAAACCCGGGTCTTCGGTGTGACGAGCCAACGCTTCAACCATTAGGCTACCCCACCGCCCCTTCAATAATGGAAGACAGTAATGGGCTTAAGTAAGTTCTTAACAGAAATTAATTCGTAAATTTTAACATCAGCCTGACTGAGTGAATAAGCAGGAACTCTGTAAGATTGTAATCCAGTATTTAGCACCCAAGGGTTCTCAAAGGCTTGAGTGGCATGGTTGAACATTCGCTCGTCATGCCATAGACTAGGGTTCAGTTCCCCACCAGGGTACACTACGGTGAATATTGCTAAAAGCAGCAGAAGACCTTACTTACGCACATGTTAACAGTATGTTCCAGCATTTCACTTGTAACATGAATAGAGGATAAAAGAGTTAGTTCATTAGGTCTTGAGAAACCTTCATACCATTAACGGAACTGAGAGACAATTAAGTTCCATTCTCACCTACAGATATAGTCTATGTTTCCCACTTACAAGCTAATTATACTGCGAACTATGCCACTGACAAACGTACCTTCTTACGCTCCGCTGTAAGCAGTGTGGCTCGGTCGGACAGCTGTGAGGAATAAATAACATGTTAATATAAATTCTGGTACCACGAACTAACATAAAACATGATGCTGTTCGGCAGACATTAGCTTCTCAAATGACAAAAACAATTATAGTTGTAAAAAGTACAGGAATAAACTGTAAAAAAGACCAAATCCATTATATAGTTACAAAACTTAAAATATCATTTACAACAACAAAAGGGAATCTAACACAGTTGGGTCAAATTTGTAAATTCCACTTAATTGTATTAGCAGAATAAAAATATCTGATAAAATATTGAATGAATTCCAACCAAATCGTACAGATTATCATTACCAGAGAAGTCATGAAACAAGCTCTGTCTTGAGGAATATGTGTGTTGTCCTTCGGTACTGACCTTCTGAATGACCTCCTCTGACATGCCGACCTCCTCCATCTGACTGTCTGGCTGGATCCCCTCCGGACCAACTTCTGCAGGGTATGCCTGAAGATATGAACATCCAAAATAGTGGGTGAGTGAGTTTAGTTTTACCAGTGTATGAAATAAGCCAAAAACCCAGCCAGACATCAGGGCTGGTAACTTCAAAATGTTACCAGCCCAAAATGGATTTACTCAGAGCAGACACTAAGATATAGTGAATTTACTCAGATGTATGGGACATCTAAAACTGTTACCAGATCATCGAGCTGGCTTGTTGTAAATTTAGACCGTCTGTCAGAAATCTATGCCCGTCTCGGGCGGTCGGACGGGCCTTATTTCATACGCTGGTTTTACGTCGCACTCATCAATATTCCAGCTATATGGTGGCGTACATAAAAAATAAGACAGACGTACAAATTAAGTATTCACTGTGCAGGCGTTTATGATGAGACTTCAGCAAGAGTCTGACTTTATTTATTGTTTAAGGCTGCCCTCAGCAATATGAGATTTATCACAGCGTAAATAATCAGCCATGTCAGTGAACATGTCCAACCAATCCACTTGGACAACTTTCATATCCAGCATATTTTCCTGGAGCCTATTCTAACGCAGAATCCTCATGAGGTTAGGAGTACATAAAAACAGCCAACATGACTGCAGCCCATCAAACAGTGGTTGATGGAAAAAGGACATCTAACACATCCAAAACACAGCAAAGCTTGTCGATATCGTAACCTTCCCAGTGAAATGATCAAGGTTAACAAATTTCAGGATTTATGAATCCAGGTGGTATTACTCCATCAGCTATTTATAGACATTCCAAACCATAACTGCCTATGGTTTCCATGTTACCATGCAACCATGGTTACCATGTCAACAGTTTCCTGAATCAGCACAGTTGTATCCAAGTGCTGTCTTGTGAACCCAGGCTACTACACCGTTTTGCTTTCAGCCTGAGTTGTTCCGAAGATAAAATCCCATTTACAATACATTACATCTACTAGTAACGGCCAACATCAGAGAATGGCTGTACGTGTTAGAAGTGTCAGTTTCAACTCACCGGTGCTTGTGCTGGCTGTGGGTAGCCTCCAGGCCCTGCCGTCAAACCAGCCTGGGGTTTCAGTGTGGCCAAGGCTGAAACACAACAACACTGATCCATGAGACAGGTCAGCATGTAAAATTTCAGCATGATAAGACACAGTGACACTGGCAGTAGACTGATTGAGTGTGGCCTACTCCCTATACTGTATTTGCTTTACATGAACAGTGAGTGAGTACTACTGGGTGATCGAATTGCTTCATAATTATTTTACGCAAACAATCAAAATTATTTGGGTTAGGGTAATTTAGTTTGTGCATTTTACACAAACTTATCAGAAACTGTGACATACCTTCTCTGGCAGCTGTAACTTCCTTTGTGAGACGAGCGATCACACGACAGGCGGCGTCATGCTGGTACAGGGCGTGGGACAACTCTGAAAAATGACGACCCTACTCATTATTACACATCCATTATGTAATGATGGTGAGTGGGACAAGTTTGGTCAACGCTGCTTTGAAAAATATTCCACTTCTCACAATGTGTCAGTGAAAAGAATATACTAACATCTGTAATTTGGTTAATATTTTTCAATTTACACCGAGTACAGTGATAGCAATCACAATCACTCGTACTAAACCACGAGTGTTATCTTCAAGACCAAAGGTTATTGATGGGGGATGTCTTCAAGGGAGGTAACTCAGTGCTGCAGATCATGACTTCCAGTTACTTGCCTTCTTTGACAATACAGAGGCAACTTACATTTCTTTAACAGTGCAGGAATGTCTGCAGGATTGTCTGCTGAGGAGTCATTAGAAACACTGACATCTGCATATTTCTGATCAAGTGTTATGGTGCATGTGCTGTGTATTGGGTGTGATTTTGGTTACATGCATTCAAGAAATTCCAAGAACATTTATACTGATGTCACATGATTGTTTCTGTCCAGCAGAATATACCTATAACTCACCTTGTTTGACTGTGCCCAAGAGCATGTAAATATATCACCTTGTCTGTCTGCAGCTGTATATGTGCATAGCTCACCTTATCTGTGTCCAGTTGTATATGCATACAGCTCACCTTGTCTGGCTGCCTGTATTTATGTATAGCTCACCTTGTCTGTATATATTAGCTAAAGTTGTCTGCATCTGTTTACACAGAAAGTTCACCATATTTGTTAGCTCACCTTGTCTGGCTGTCTGCAGCTGTTGTCTCAGTGTGAAGCTGTGTAACATGACTGCATCCTGAAACAAGGACTCACATGTAGTTAAACAGAACAAGCTTACAGAACTGTTACAACTGCAGGAGTGATGAGTGAGGCGATTTTATCCAGCTTAAATGAGTGAGCGAGTAAGGTCATTGGCGAGTGAGCGAGTCATGACAGGCAAACGCTTTAAACTTTTACAAACCTGGAGAGGTTATGAATTCTTTGAAGAAAAGTCCTCCTTGGGGTACATATAAGCATTAAAATGTCCATTTTAAAAGCCTACGACAGTTGTAACAATATTTCAATAAAATATTTTACCAAACAAAAATCTCGTTATGTGTGGTGAGACCACCCCTACAGGGCCCCGTAGAGGGCCCCCTACAGCCAAGAGCAGGTAACTCTGGCTGTGTACCTCGTACCTCACTTTTCATGCTGAACGTGTCAGACAGAATGAGGGAGGTGGTGAGCGTCAGATTACCCAAGGAGGACTTTTCTTCAAAGAATTCATAACCTCTCCAGGTTTGTAAAATTCTTTTTCAGAAGAAGTCCTCCTTGGGGTACATATAAGCATAAGACAGACTCCCAACGATGTTGAGTCGGGAGCGGTATTCTGTCTGCCTAACATACCCCCTAGTTCAGTCGAAGGCACAGCCGAAGCCGCGACAGAGAGAGAAAGTACACTCACCTAGTCACCTGACCGCTGACGTCAATCAGGCGGGGGCGTGGCAAGGCGGGGGAAAAGGAGCCTAGCCGATAGGCTATTGGTGGAATTTATAAAGGCGGACGCAAGTCCCACCCCCAGACCATCAAAATGGGAGGGAAAGAATGGGCGAGTCCAATATATATCCCTCAGCAACCCAAACCAGCGAAGCTTGGTGCAGGGATGAACACAGTGACTGTAGCGAGTGATAATCGCTACATACGGTAAAAACCACCACCAATGTGTTACCACCACCGATAAAAATTGAGGAATTTATTAACACCTACACCATGAGAAAAGCAAACGTGATTTCTAAGGCTCATTCGGCTAGAGAATCACGACACTGCCCACTGGTGAGAACTGTCTGGCCAAACCGAGCACGCTCCCGTGAGTGTTTGTCCAGCTGATAGTGGCGGATGAACGTATTCGGTCGGCTCCAGATAGCCGCTGAGCAGATCTCCTCAATCGGCAGTGCCGCCGCGGTATGCTTTTGATGTCGCCACTGCCCTAATCGAATGAGCCTTTAAACCCTGAGGGATGGTTAATCCTTTGTAAGAGTAACTTCGAACAAATGGCAGAGACAAGCCACCTAGATATGGTCTGCTTGTTCGCGGAAGACCAGCCTTGCCACCGCCATAACAACAGAACAGCTGCTTATCTTTCCTGATAGCAGCCGTTCGTTTGATATAAGCCTTGAGAGTCTTACGGACATCTAAGGCGGAGAGCACGCCCGAGAGAGGTACCGGACGATGGAGGCTGAGTGAAAGCTGGCAGTTCGATAGGGCCCAAGTTATATGAAAGGCCTGCGACCTTAGGGCGGTAGGAGTCTGGCAACCGAATACTGACTCTGTCTTTGTGAAAGACAGTCAGAGCAGGATCCGCTGACATCGCATGGATATCACCTACCCGCCTGCCAGACGTTACCGCCACAAGAAAGGCAGCCTTCCAACTTAACAGCTGGAGTGAAAGAGACGACAGATCGTGAAAGAGAGGACCGGACATCCAATCAAGAACGATTGACAAGTCCCATGGGGGACTAATCCGCCGGACAGTCGGACGGATTCTGTCCACGCCTGCTAAAAAGCGCTGTACGAGAGGGTGCTGCCCCAAGAGAGCACCGTCGGCAGGGATATGGAAGGCAGAGATTGCCGTGGAGTAGCCCCGGATAGTAGACGCGGCTAAACCGGCTTCTAACCGAGACTGCAAGAACTCCAGTACTTCAATTACAGTTGAAGAAAAGGGATCAAGAATCCCTCTGCCGACACACCAGCGCGCATAACAGGCCCATCTATCCTCATACTGAACGTTTGTCGAATCCCTCCGCGAAGCCAGAATTGTGTCTGCAACTGGTGCAGGAATTCCGCACGCGTAGAGGCGATTCCGGACAGAGGCCAGGCCACCCACTGAATCCTGGGATTCAGGTCGCGGCGCTCCGTTCTGGATAGTAAGTCCGGTTGAAAGGGTAATAGTACAGGAGGCTGAGCCAGAAACCTGAGTAGTACCGGAAACCAGCTTTGAGCCGACCAAAGGGGTGCAAGGAGCACAAGAAGTCGAGCTGGTTGGGTGGCAAGCTGCAAGAGGACTTTGGGAATCAGGGTAGTGGCGGGGCACGCCCACAGAACCCTGTCCGTCCAATCGAGCTGGAAAGCGTCTTGGGCGATGGCTCTCGGATCCGGTATCCGAGAGCAAAACACCGGAATCTGGTTCGTCCCCCCAGATGCAAACAGATCCACCTGGAACGACCCGAACAACTGGGAGATAGCCCCGAATATCCCCCGATGGAGCATCCACTCGTGTGGGGCCAGGATACGACGAGAGAGTGCATCTGCTCGAACGTTGTCCGCCCCAGGGAGATAAACAGGCATTACCCGTATGTCGAACTGGTCGCACCAGAGCAGAAACTGCCATGCCTCCTGCAGAAGAGACGGGGAAACCGTACCGCCCTGCTTCAGGATGTAGGTCATTGCCGTCTGGTTGTCCATCTCGAGACGGACCACACGGCCTTGAACCTGCTCCCGAAGTCGTTTGAACACCAACCTGACTGCTCTCAATTCTAGCACATTGATGTGCAGTTGCGCCCTCACTCTGTGACCACAGGCCTGAGACCGACAGGGAGGGCCCAGCACGCCACCCTGTGAGGGAAGCGTCCGTCTGAATTGAGAGATCTGGCGATGGGATGTCCAAAGGGAGCCCTTGGATAAATTCCCTGCCAGTGTCCACCACCGTAAATGAGGAATTAGCCACCCTGGAGTGTGGAGAATCAACTTCGTAACCCTGGGTGTGGACCCACATTCGAGCTAGAGCCTGCTGAATGGGTCGCATCCTCAACCCGCTCGCCAACGATGTCCACCGTTGCCGCCATGTTGCCTAGCAACTGGAGCCAAGTCCCAGCTGAGGCCCTGGGGAACTTCGAGAAATTGTAACACAACTCTGGACTTTGGTGACGCGGTCGGGAGACAGGGAGACTATCCCTCGGCTGTCTCGAATCTCGCTCCCAAGAACACCAGATCCTGGGTGGGGAACCAGTTCTGATTTCTTGAGGTTGATAATCCAGCCCAACTTGGTGAGAATACTCATCACAGCAAGTGTCGCAACTCGACTCAAGTGAGTGGCAAGCGCCATCGAAGGAGCCAATCGTCTAGGTGCGGGTGACAGCACCTGCCCTGTGACCTGGCTACCTGAGCTGGAATTAGCATGAGTTTGGTGAACACCCTTGGCTGTGGAAATGCGAAGGGAGTACCGAAACTGATAGCACCTCCCGTCGAAGGAAAACCTTAGGTATTTCCGAACTTCGGGGTGCATAGGGACATGGAAGTGCAGCGTCTTTGAGGTCGATTGGCGTGAGCCAATCTCCCTTCTCCACAGACGAAATCACCCGAGCGCGGTGTTTCCATCTTGAAGGGCGGTACCTCTAACATGTCGTTCAGACCTTTGAGGGTTTAGAATAGGTCTGAACCCTCCGTCCTTTTTGATGACAAGGAAATAAGTTGAGTAAAACCCAACATTTCTTGTCCCACAGGAACCACCTCTATGGCTGCCTTGTCCAGCAACGACTGGACCTCGACGGAGCACTTCCGCCTTCTCTAGGGCAGCCCGGCACTGGAGTGCAACGGATCCCGGAGAAGGGGGGTGGGTCTCGCTTCAACTGTGGCATGTGGCCTTCCCTGAGTGTGGACAGGACCCAGGGATTGGACATGACTTTTCCCATTCCGACAGGAAGAGGGAAAGTCGACCACCCACAGGGATATGTGGCATGAGACATTGCATACCTGACCTCGGCAGTACTCCGACTGCTTGGTCTGGTACCAACAAGGGCTCCGGAGGAATTATAGCTGGGAAGCCGGGGCTGACTTCCCCTTCCTCTGAAAAGGCTGGTGGGGCGCCGTGCCTTGCCCTTGCCCCTGCCTCTGCCCTTACCCCTCCAGCGACTGCAAGGGGCTGAGCCCATTTAACAGATTCCTTCGCCCGGCAGAAGGATATCGCGGAGGAGACAACCGGGGGCATGGCGAGGCGTGTGAGGCTGTTCCAGCAAGGGCTTAGAGTCCTTGAAGGTTGAGACAGCCTCCGCGCCTCCCCGGACTACTGTAGCTGCCCGGGGAACAGGGTAGAACCCATCCGGAATGGCAGCCAGCAGAGCCTGTTAGCGTGGCAGGCGAATACCTGCGCATGCGAAAAGCCACAGGCGGACGGAGGCCCATCACCGCCGACATCATTTGGCAAGCCGGCGACCTGATAGAATCGCAGCCGCCAGATGTGACTGTACCTCCGTTAATTGCTTAGCCAAGGTGGAGGGAGACGAATCTTCCTCCACCCACCCACATCCAGTAGTTGCCTCTGCAACACCGAGATGTAAGCGGAATGGATCGTCACTTTGAGGCATTGAACTGCATTGCGGTATTGCTCTTCAAAGGATCGATGAGGCGGATTTAAGCTGTAAGCGTTAGTCGTGAACGGCGGAAGCCGGCGACCTTGCTTGGCTGAAGCCATAGAATTACCAGCGAACCCCAAAGAGGCGGCCGGATGCGTAAACACAATGTCGTCAACCACTGGAGGATTGTAAGGCAAGCCTCCCCATGAGGTACCCGACGGTCAAGTTCTGGCAAATCGAACCTGGACCTGGTACCACAGAGGAGGGGTTGATTACCTCAGACAAGACTGAGGGTAATATCGCGCAGCCTTGTGTCCCCACCTTGGTGGGAGCAAAAGCCTCCCTGGGAGGCTTAAACTCCTGAGGGTCGGGGTGCGCCAGTACTGACCACTACCTGGGGCAGGACAGAAGCAATGCGCTCCCGTACCTGCCTCAGGGGCGCGCAGCCGAAACCAAAGGCGTGCCCTACTCCTCCCGACCCTCATCCTCCTCCATAGCCTCCTCGAATCGATCCTCAATGAGTGAGGTCTCTGTATCCAGAGAGAGCTCTGAGGGATCATCCGAGGGTCTCTACAGAGAGAGGGACAAAGGCTCGAGCAGAGCGGGTTGCCCGGCACACCTGACCCAAGACTTCGATACTGAGTCGGCGGTGCGTGGCGAGGAAGAGCCGTGCTGGGATTCCTCAATGGTAGACAAAATGATCCAGACACCGAATGGCCCGGCCAAGCCGGGCGCGCGGTGGGACCAGTTCTTGCAGTAGCGGCAACTACAGGCACTGAGCCTGCCAAACTACTAACTACTGGACCAGACCCGAGCCAAGGCTCTGGCCGGTAGTAGTTACTACAGCGGAGGGTGGCCAGCAACCGAGAGGCGAAACTTCGGAGCCGACACACCCCGACAGAAACCCCACACCAGAGCCTAAGCTGAGGTTGGGAGCACTGCCCGCCATAGACCGGCACACACACCCGCACCTGGCGGACACCAATCTCCTGACGGAGGCCAGCCATCGCGTCAGCCACGAGAGTGTGGACCCGAATCCATCTGCTTCTGCAATATATCAGAAAGTAAATCAATTGTTAGCTGGTTAGAAACAGGGACAGGAGGGGAAGGTGCCTGTGATGTTGAGGGGATGGCAGGTGAAAGAGCCGGAGGCCCGCACCCTTCGCCCGTTTAGGAGCACCCCGAAAGAGAGAAGCGAAGCCTTCTTTTCTTTGCTTTTTATCTTTGTCTTTAGGCTCTCCTGACCCCAAATGTCCCCGCCTGAAGTAGGGCGACGTAGAACATGTAATCAGCACGTCTGGACTTGATGGTGAGGGGAGAAAGCCTGACACATAGAACAACCTTGTTGCGTCATGGGCTTCCTCTGCTAAACAACGTAAGCAAACCAGGTGGCGATCCTGAGGCGACAAACTGCGCTACAGGTGACACACCCCTTTGGGCTGCAAAAACAGAACCAGCTATGACAATAGCAAGGACTGTACGATATACATAATATAATATGCACGCAACAAAACAGAACAAAATACAACGCCGGGCGATATTTTAACTGTTACAGCAAAGCTATTAAATACTAGCGCAAAGCCATAATAGCGGGCGTAATTCGCGTCATACATAGGTGACAAAGAGCAACATGTGTGGCGACCGTAAACGCGGCGTCCGCGAAAACACTCAAGCAAAACTTACCTAAAGCCTGGAAAAAGAGGAATTTAGGCAAGTATAATCTACAAAATGAAATATCAGCCCCTTCTACGACCGACTACAAGGCTTTTTCTAAAGCCAGGAGAAGGAAAACAAGCGGGACCCAGCGGTCCGCCATCTTGCCTGCCACGTGGCTGGAGACAGCGAACACGCCGGTAAAGTTACAACAAATCATGAATGAAAAAAGTCATACAACGATTCCAGCTAAGCCTCGAGCGAAAAAAAGGAACCATACATACAGGATTTGACTCTATCTCACTCATCGCTCTCTTATTCGTAGCTTCTTGGACCATGCAATCGACCTACGCGGCCGACGACAGCATGAAAAGTGAGGTACGAGGTACACAGCCAGAGTTACCTGCTCTTGGCTGTAGGGGGCCCTCTACGGGGCCCTGTAGGGGTGGTCTCACCACACATAACGAGTTTTTTGTTTGGTAAAATATTTTATTGAAATATTGTTACAACTGTCGTAGGCTTTTAAAATGGACATTTTAATGCTTATATGTACCCCAAGGAGGACTTCTTCTGAAAAAGAACCTAGGCTATGCCATCCCCCTTTTAAGAAATAAAGCAATTGGTCATAAGACTCGTATAGATGACCATAGAAAAGTGGTGATAAACAAGGGCCACAATCAGGACAAATATTCCATTTAAACCAATCAATCAGCAAATTCTGGCATGTAAGGGAAGCAACTCAGTCTCACTATATCCCACCGTGCCACCAGTGTTGTAGATTTCTGGAAGAATCATACTTACCCAATACATTGTGTTCAGATATACACTACTGGGAACATATAGCGAACAGCAGCAAACACATTGTTGTGGGTATATTTGTATTATGGCCATGGCTATGAGGTGAACAAATGCAGAGATAGACATCTTAAAAAATTATTACCCATTCATCTTGAAGCGCTTTCAGAATGGCTGGGATACTTGTTGCTGATGGGGGTCTGGGCTTCACAAGTGGAGATGCTGAAATAGATAACATCATACATGGTGTGACAATTGGACCAGTAAGATGCAAACAAGGCATCTAAAGATCACCACCTTCAATTCCTTTCCGAAGAAACTTCATGTTTTCTGCTAATTACAAGAACTACTACCTTTCACATGGTACCAGGAACATTTACCCATACATACACCTGGCTGTTAGACATTCATTGTTTCAGATTGGTTCATTTTCTGGGACACACCCTCATATCCAGTATGGTATACAATATTGTTCAAGTAGGGTCCCAGATAGCATTCAGACGTTGGCCCAACGCTGCAAAGGTTTTGCCAACATTGCCAACGTTGGGCCAACGTCCGAATGCTATCTGGGGTGGTGGTAAACACATGATACATGAGTGAGTGAGTTAGTATGGTTTTACACTGCTTTTAGCAATATTCCAGTCATATATCCACACAAATTCCTGAAATGGCATTAAAGTATTATTCTATTATATTCTAATATCATGGCAGGGAACACCAGAAATGGGCTTCACACATATACCCATGTGGGGCTTCGAACCCGGGTCTCCGGCATGACGAGCAAACGCGTTAACCACAAGGCTACCCCAAAGCAAAACATGATAGATAAATGCCATATATGTTATATGTCTTGTCAATATTTTATGAAATAACCAAACTGTAATACTAGCAAAATCAGATACTTATAAATACTGTAAAGAGTATACAGTGTTTCCACTGGCATTTTTTCCAGCTGGACATTGTGACTGGCTAGCATTTCAAATACCGGCCATTTGTAAATATTACCTGTCAAGTGATCACGCTTTTCATTGTGCGCGCGACACTGCACGCTAACAACCAATCAGTAAGGTAGAGGGCTTCGCAATGCGTCAATGCCACTATTTTTAGCACAGGGTTTTCCAAAACTGCTAATTTTGATTTGACAACACCTTGATGTCATTGTGAAAACATAATCCTTTTTTGAGGAGAAATAAAATTGACAGGGGTAGTCAGAAAATTGATTTTAAGATTTGCCGGACACTATGACTGACAGCCTTTGAAATTACCGGACATTCTAACTTTGTACCGGTCAAAGGCCGGTATACACCAGATAACGGAAACACTGCAGCCACACAAATAAAGGTTGGAAGTAAATATATTCATGCCTGGTACAATGAATTTTTAAACTAATCTCACAAATACCTGACATTTTACTCTCTCTATCAAGATGACACCTGACTGTTACTATTTACTTTATGGGTAACTTTTATGAGTGACCGTCATTTTTACTTCAGTTGTGAACTCACTTTTGATGTCAACCAGCAGATCCACTGCCAACTGTTCTCCATTCATGGGGTCCGTGCCATGATCTTGGATGTATTTCTCCACCAGGCGGCGCTCAAACACATGGCCGGAAACTGGTGAGAGCACTGGATGCTCGGGTACCTCGTTACTAACTGCAACAAGATGTCACTGATGATCAGACTACAATGACTACTGTATGTCAACGTAATGTGAATCATGTTAAGAGATACAACTGAAGATCATCGTCCAACTCAGTGTCAAGATAATTCATCTCCGAGACAAATCACTCTTCATCATATTCATGCTGTTACTGTTAGCAATATATCATCATGATATATTTGGTGGCAAGCTATTTGTACAGTTTATGTGCGTGATTGAGTATGGTTTTACACCTTATTTAGCAATATTCCAGCAATATCACGGCAGGGGACACCAGAAATGGACTTCACACATTATAACCATGTGGGGAATCGAACCCGGGTCTTCACTACCCCACCGCCCACACAGTTTTTGTGCTTGAGTACAAACTACATGGTCAAAAGAAAGGTAGGTATAATTTGTTTTTATTACTGTAGTCATTCATAAACATGACAAATATAACAAATAGTCAGAATTCAAATATGGTGTAATGTTTAACTTGATGCATTACACATAGAAAAAATGAACATGTTGAAGCGCAGGATAAACGACAGACATATTGTGTCGGATCGCATTAGAGTTGAATTCTCCAGTGAAAACATTGACATGTTGCAGTCAAATTACATTCTGTGGCTCAAATTACAAAATTCTGTCAAATTCTGCTGTACCAACTAACTAGTTCCCTGAGATTCCAGGAACTGTCATTCAAAATGGTTATCCTTGGATGCAAATTATGCAAATAAATATGTATAGTATCACAGATATCCATGGTTAGATGTGAACAGAGTTTTCTGTGCCTCTGCAATTGCAATTTACTCTGCATAACTCCAAACTTGATAAAAACGTAAGAGATCTGTAGCCTATCTCAAAAGTAATCCGGAAAGAGTTCCTTCCGTTCTCCCAACCCTAAACCAAACTCTAAACCTAATCCTTACTTAAATTTTGGACTTTTCGTCATTTTGTGAGTTCTTTAGTAATTGTTGTGTTAAGTTTTGTTAATAATTTTAGCAGGGCTCCAGATAATTTTTCAACATCAGGAGTACGTACTCCTTATTTGTTCAATATTGAGTACTGGAAAACCTAAGTGTACATTTAGAGTACAGAATGGAAGCTAATGGACTATCAGTAATCTTGTGTTTCGTTTCATATATGCACCACAACATTGCCACTCTTGTGTAAACAGGTCAATAAACAATAAAACAATATTTTTTTCAGATAAATACATCTGTAAATGATTCTAAGACTGTACACCATTGCTGTGGTGCGTATCTGCTACGTTTGTAAATTATTTCCTACCGTATTGTTCATATTTTTTATCCGTACATACGCCGATACGGCCCTTATCTGGGGCCCTGATCTTAGTATATTTATACATATTATATGGGATGGGGGAACGGGAGGAACTCTTACCAGTAATTCTCACGACCGCAAAAATGGTGTTTGATAGGCAAGTGCTCAACCCAGTGAATCATGAAGTGGTGTTTGATCAGAAAGTGGTTTGTAACTTTAACGATGGCAAGGCATGTTTGATTAGAAAGGGATCCTTGGGTTTCACAATTGTGGTAAGCTGCTCATAGTAACCTGCAGACTTGAAATTAGGACGATAATCTTGACAGCTTACTTCATGTACACACGTGTATGAAAACACGCAAAAGTCAAGTGACCGAAAACCGAACACTAACGAAAATATGTGATTATATTCTGAATATTTCCGAAAGACTACTTAGTGAATAGTCAGCCCATAGAAAGTGATACTATTTACATAATAAGTTCATATACATTCTGTTTTGTATTATACGAAAATTTCAGCTGCACAACATTGCTGACTAGATCTAGTGATTGAAGATTTGCCATGTTTTGTTTGAAAATTAAACTCATGCAGCATGGCTAACCGGCAAAGCAACATCGATTAGTCTTGAGCAGAACAAAGGAATACATTCACTATATTTATCACGCCACATCAAAATGTGTGCTATTTTGAAATATAGAACTGATCAACACACACATTAATTCTGTGACCATAAATCACGTAAATATAACGCGAAAAGATATGAACACTTACTTGCACAGCACAGCGCCATGTTGGATATGTCACGTGACTATAATGTTTTGCTAAAACGAAACGAAATAAATGAAAAAAGGGAGACAACCGCGAAAGTATTATGTCTGAACCAAAGGGAGAGAACCTTTACCGAAATCGGCAATGATGTGATCCGTTGACACTCGTTTCTCTGATATCACGCTCGTTTACACCCACGCGACTCTGGTCTCCTGTCATATTGGATCTGTTAAACGTAATAAATATTGATGCCATTAATATATTTATTAATTAGCATGTAACTTGTTGTACACGGAAAGACAAGATCCTAGACTTGTGTTATGGTAATGTAGCAGTGACATTTCACTTTGTATTATATATTTTGTTTTATTTAAAATGTCAATAAAAAAATCATATAAAAACATTTCTTGGTGGTGTTATACAGTTTTGTGGCCAACAGTATTATTAGTGCTCGTCCTGTGTAGGCCAGGTTAATGAATATGCATTTCACGTGCATTTCATGTTTATGGGAATCTTTGTTATAACACGGATGATTTTGATTGGTTGATTGGATCGTCTGCTTCAACATGATTATACCTCGTGGTGTCTTGTGATTTTCATTGCATTCTGAGAGCTGATAATGTGAGGTCGAGTTAGAGGAGTCACCAGGTTAGTTATGTTGGGTTGTAGAATGGTTTCTAAAGTTTTAGGTTATAACAGCTCAGTAATGCATATAAAATAAGTTCTAGACTACAAACGTCTATTAATATTAAATAACGTTGGCAGTTTGGATATGTAAATATGTTGTGCTAATCCGTAAAGTTTTTAATGCTTCAATTGGATTGCAATTATACATATTTTTACATAATGTTTCTTGGATGGTTGTTGTGCATGTAGTCTGAGCGCGCTGTGGTGGTGACTGTTGAGAATATGATGTTCCTTTCTGTGTGGGTTCATTGTGATTCATATTAACATTGTTTTCACTTTATTGTACGTACTAGGCATCGAGCAGATGTCTAGGAGTAGCTTCGTCTTATAGACGGGTGAGCAAATTTTTAATATAATGTAAACGTGTAAATATTTCATTTTCCTCTGGAAAGTGTAACCAATATGCATAAATTCCTATTGCACACTTAGTATGGTCATATTTGTGAACTGATTGAAAAGGAAAAATATTTGTTATCAATGTATTTATTTCGTTCAATGTGATGTGCATATCGCTCAATGTGACCATGATTTATAAGTGCTTCAGTTGTCTCTCTTTTCTGTTAATCAACTGTTACAAATGAATCTGTGCTAATACCCTTGTGATAAAATACAAACCAAAACATTGTGATATTAATAATAGGCACATAAAGAAACAGTGCATACAAAAATTGAAAATCTAAATTTATCAAACGTGTAGACACATAAGGATTTAAACTCGGAGATTAGTGACATGTACCCAACATGCATGCACGTGACACGTTCCGTGACGTCAGTGGGTTCATCCTTGAGACGTGCAATACGTTGTTGCACGTGCATTCCGGGAAAGAGAAACAGAGCAAATGAATGCCACACAATACTGTCACTTTGGAAAGCTCAACCCCTGCCCTTGCGATCGTTCAGAAAAGTGAACGGCTATTGAAACCCATAGCATGCCAAGGCTCACGTCTGCACAACGTAATGAGGCCATTGAGATGGTGCGTGGGGGAATGTCTAAAGGACAAGTGGCTGCACATTTCCACTGCCACCGGAACACCATTTCTGCACTGGTGAGACACTACCTGAACACAAATGACGTCATAGATCGGCCACGTTCTGGACGTCCACGTGTAACAACGCCAAGACAGGACAGATGGATAAGGGTGACCCATCTTCGCCACAGGTTTCAGACTGCAGTGATGACTGCCCGAACCATCCCAGGACTTCGCCGTATCCACCCCAACACAGTTCGACAACGTTTACGTCATCACGGATCAGACCACGACGTCCCGCCATACGGCCTATCCTGACACAACGTCATCGACAAGCTCGTCGAATGTGGTGCCGAAATCATGTCCGCAGACTCTTTTTTGGTGGAGAAATGTTGTTTTTACAGATGAGTCCAGGTTTAACATTTCCCATAGTGATGGACGTCAACGTGTCTGTAGACGCGTGGGAGAACGTTATGCACAGGCCTGTGTCTTTGAGAGGAATGGCTTTGGTGGTGGTTCCGTGACGATTTGGGGTGGAATAACAGCACGCCAAAGTACTCCTTTGGTGATTGTTCAGGGCAACTTAACTGGTGTGGGCTACAGGGATCAGATTCTTAGACCTGTGGCAATTCCTTTTCTGCAACGTCATGGCCCTGGGTTAACATTCCAACAGGACAATGCCGCCCTCATACGACAAGGGTTGCTATGGATTTCTTGCAACACCACAACGTTGACTTGCTGCCTTGGCCTGCAAATTCACCGGATCTCTCCCCGATAGAGCTTGTTTGGGACGAGATGGATCGACGTCTACGCCGTCTTCCTCATCCGCTAGATAACGTCCTTGACCTTGCAACAGAACTTGAGAGAATCTGGCGTGACATCCCACAAGTCTTCCTTGCACGTTTGATAGGCTCTATGCGTCGTCGATGCACTAATCTCGATGCACAATGCCGATGGTGGACATACCCTTTATTGAGCTAGAGACATGGTCGTTTGACCCCTGTCCCGCTTGTGGACTCGTGACGTCATTGTGATTGACTTTTCAATTGAATTTCTCCCGACTTGTTATGGTCTCATGATCCCTCCATTAAAGTTTATATGTACCTTTGACATTGTTATCGTACTTATCAACTGGGATAATCTTTTGACAAAGCACAGTTTCTTTATGTGGCTAGTATATATATAAATGAAAAGTGTACAGGGTATTCTTCTGCTACTTCTTCCTGTGATCTAAAGAATAAATGGATTCGCACCCTACAGCAAGTCGTTGTGTTTTCTCGGCGTGATAGCTGTGACAGTAACATCAAGAACGCCTACAAATCATATAGTAAACCACCCCTGGAGCTTCGGACCATAATTCTCTGTATTTGCTGCCCACATATCGTCAAAAGTTTAAAAACAGAGAAGGCTATTGTTAAGACTGTCAAATCATGGAACAAAGAATCTATTGATACCCTACAAGGATGTATTGCGTGTACAGATTGGGACATGTTCTATGATGCCGAACAAACATTTGAAGGAATGTGTGACGTCATTACTGATTATATATATTTTTGTGTCAACATAATATACTGAGTCAAAAAGGAAACTTCACAAAATGTAATTTGAAAAATAATGAATAATATTTCTCTGATGATACATCTATGTATCCGAAATGGGATCCCTATCTTTCGACTCTTAAAAAAACGTTAGCAAAACCCACTCAAACCCATCCATTCGTCCTGCAAATGACGTTAGTGCCAAATCAGGTTTTGCACGTGCAGTCGATCACGTAATCTTCGCATCGAAGTTTTCTTCATATGCACGTGTTTGCATTGGCCTCAAGAATTGAAAAAACACTTTTAAACCACAGTTCTAACGGTACTTGAAATGCCACGATTGTCAAATGTGCAACGTGAACGTGCCGTTGGCATGTTGCAAGCGGGAAGATAAGTTATTGACGTCGCAAGAGCAATGGGATTAAGCCGTCGTACTGTGTATGACTTGCGAGGTCGTCTACAACAAACTGGCACCACTTCTGATCGCCCAAGGTCGGGTCGTCCACGTGTGACGTCACGAGCAGAAGACCGTCAAATCGTTCTACGTCACCTACGTGACAGATTTCTGACGGCTACACGAACCAGGGCTGAGATGTTTAGAGGTCGACTGTCCTCACAGACCATTCGAAATCGGTTGCGGGCTGCCAATCTCCATTCTCGACGTCCATATCGTGGGCCAATATTGACGCCGTTTCATCAACGTCAACGTCTGCTGTGGGCCCAACGTCACCTCCGATGGACCCAGAGAGACTGGAATCGAGTCGTCTTTAGCGATGCATCCAGGTTTACCCTCAGATTCGCGGACGGCAGGCATAGTCTGGAGACGACGTCGTGAACGGTATGACCAATGTTGTGTACAGGAAGTCGACAGATTCGGGGGCGGAAGTTGCATGGTGTGGGGTGCTTTCTGTGGGAACAACTTGTGGTCATCCGTGGAAACCTCACAGCTGCTGCTTACCGCGACCAGGTGCTCACCCCTGAACTCGTTCCTTTCATGGCGGCTCATGGCCCAGGTCTACAGTTCCAGCATGATAATGTTCGGCCGCATACCGCGATGTTGACACGAAATTTCCTTCAAAACGCTGGAATCAACGTCATGGACTGGCCATCGAGGTCCCCTGACCTTAATCCAATAGAGCACGTTTGGGATGCACTTGGGAGAAGGTTTCGTGGTTTTGGGAACCAACCTCAGAATTTGCAGGAACTTGGCGCTGCCTTGCAAGAGCAATGGCGCAGAATCCCCAACCACGTGTTCACAAGCATCAGGTAGTCGATGAGGAGACGGTGTTTGGCAGTGGTGAATGCGCGGGGCGGCCATACACGATATTGAACTGAGAAATTTCGCATTTTTACTCTTGTGACTTTACATTCTGTATACCCATGTTTTGGAACGGCGGTGTAGCCTAATGGAACTGATTATGGCACTGTCAGTGTATCGAGTACATCACACAGATCTCAGCAATGAAATAATAACAATTTAACCATCTTACCATCTCTTGTTCTTTTATAGTGCCCTGAAGAAAGAATGTGAAGTTTCTTTTTTTGACTCAGTATATATACCAGAAAAAGAAATCAGAATTTTCCCGAACAACAAGCCCTGGATTACAAAGAAATGAAATCTTTATTAAACGAAAAGAAACGAGCGTACATGAAGGAAGATAGAATAAAACTCAAATGCAAAGAATGACATTAATCTGAAAGCTGGTGAGTGTAAACAAAGAGAAAGTTGAGAGACTAAGCCCTTTGCTGAGGACCTCAACACTTTCTACAGCCGCTTTGATTGTCATGATTTTACCAATGAAAGAGTTCAAGTTAGTGAAGACGTACAGGATAGTGAAAGTCGTATCCATATATCAGAAGCT